CGCTTGCGGCGCTTGCGGCACTTGCGGCGCTGCCGGAGCCCAGGTGCCTCCAGGGCGGATGGCCGGCAAAGCGGTGCCGCCGGGCCTTGCTTTGGGCCAAACGAGTGCTGACAGCGTTCGGGGTGTATTTTGTTGGCGTTTGTTTCATGAGTTTTCATCCAAGAGAAGATTCATTGCTATGTTATTTCAAATGTGGTACCCTTTCAGTCACAAAGGCTGCGACGGCGGGGCGCCACCTGGTGGTGGGATGCCTCCTGGTGCTGGAATGCCACCTGGAGGCGGAATGGCTCCTGGCACTGGCGGAATGCCCCCAGCACTGCCTCCAGCTGTCTTAGCTGGTGGAGCAGCCGCCCCAGGCACACAAATCCTGAGATAGCAATGCTGATGCACCATTTCAACAAAGCAAACATATGGGGTATGCAGGAACGGCCAACAAAAACCCAAGGGTGGATGCGAGTTCTTCCACAATTTTGGAGTGAATCGTTGCAGCAAATTTCTGCGCAGTGTTCTGATGCCTCGTTCATGCAAGGCTATGCCATAGTCGTTGAGTCGTCTGGCTATCGATGGATTGTCCTCTCCAGCATCTTGTTTCTGGATGTTTTTGTCTCCATCCCGATGCAATCAAAGGGGCGGCGCTGCAGAAAGTGGTGCTCCAGCAAGCGGTGCTCCGGGAGCCTGCAAAGTGCAGGAATGTTGACACCCAGTTATATACTCGATGTTACTCGAGGGTACTGAGACCAGCACTTAACCATCAAGCCATACTTTGGAGCATTGCAAACTCTCAAGAAAACACTTGACAACACTCACTCATGATGTTGAACGTTCATAGTGCTCAAGTCATGCGACCCCTTCAAGGAGCCCCGCTTTCCTATCTACAAACCTCTTCACTGGCCGGGCTCGCCTGCGGCGGTGCCATCGGCCCACCCGGCGGCCGCCGGGGCGCAGGGATGCGGTGCAGCAAGCCGGTGCCTGAGAATGTGCTGGTCACAGGGATCTTCTCCAAAGGCTTTCCCTGAGATCCTTGTGATCACTCAGGATGCCGATCACAAGGATCACAGGGATCGCTCTTCACCAGGATCACAAGGATCTCCACAAAAATGCCGGACTCCACCAAGAAGTGTGCCAGGCCTATGTCACAGCCAATGCAGCCGTCGCCACCCCAGGCATTGTTGGGCATGAGGATGGTCTGTGGTCGCAAGGATGGTTGCACATTGTCCAAGTGAGGCATTGCATCCCAAGCCCAAAGTCCAAACCACAATGAAGCACGTATTCATTGCTGCATCATGAATCTTGACGTTGAACTTTCTACTTGTGGACTCAGAACTGTTTGTTGGAGTCAGAACTTCACAGTTCTGCCAGCCCGTAAGCCTGTATCAAAGAATTCCCAAACAGGCTGTTCACATCAGTCCATGAAAAATGTCCAAACTCTATAGACTATATATATATATATATAGACTATAGACCTTTCATGATCTTTCTATCGGCAGTCATCGCCACGGCGGGACGTGACTGACAAGTATCCACCATTATATATTGTTTCTTTATGTTTCTTTTGTGTTGTTTGTCTTTCTTCATTCCTTCCGATTCCTTCCTTTCCTTTTTGCATTTACTTGATTCTTTAGACCTGTAGATCCTTAGACATATTTTTCTGTCCTTTCTTTATTCCTTCCTTCCTTTCTTTCTTCCTTCCTTCCTTCCTTTCAAGTAAATCCTCGAAGCACGAACGGTGTCCACGCTATCACCAACATCCACTAGGGACATCCATGGCCTCTCTGACAGATTCGGAGTCTGCATTGTAGACATACACCTGTCGGAATCGATATGAAACAATGAAACAATTAAGTGAAACTGACCACTATCGTCCACCATTACCCACCTGCATGCGCTCGTTGATATTTGCTTGCACCACTTCGACGAGCTCGTCAATATCGTGAAAAACCCGCTGAGGTGTGCCCAGCAAAAAATCCTGAAACTGAGTTTAAGCAGGCCCCCTCCCATCTCTGACAAAGCAGGCTTGAAACAAGGAAATGCGATGGATGCAAAGGGTTGTATGATTCTGCCATCAATTATTGAGTATGTACGCCTGATGTACATGTGGCCATTTGCACGGGCAAGTGCACCCTGTCCTGAAACGGCACCAGGCCAGCATGAGCTGCAGGCGAATTTGGGAAAACCTGCAAACACGGGGAACGCATGAAGGATGGCGACGCGAATCAAAATTCCTGCAATTTAAATGAAACTGCAAAAGGAAGTATTTAAAGTCGATCCAAAAAACATTGAATCAATTTAGTCAAACCCCTTTCCGCTGCTGAACCTCCAGAACCCGAATTCCGTGGTTCTCTGCCTAAGTGGCTGAGAGATTGGACGGACTCTGGACATATGAATAGATTAGATGTCATCCATTTTCACACTCTGATACTCTGTGATGAGATGCAAGCAGCAACGCAAAGCGATGGAACGCAAGCTTCCCGAACGCCACTTTCAAGTGCAGCCAAGTGACAACATCTACGGCGTCGTATCTCACGGTCGCTCCTCACATCGTTGCATTGCAAAAGGAGTTTTCCGAAAGAAACGGTCGACACCGGTGAGGAGCGTCGAATTTCAGGCTGCTGAATGTGCGAACGGCCAACAGGGCGGGGATGGGCGGGGATGTGCGAAGACAGGTGGAACGAGCATCGAACTGTCGAAATGAGCATCGAACCCAGAAGTCCATTGCCAGCCCACTTTCTGGGCATCACAGTCACCTGCGCCAGAAACTGGGCAAATCCATCTGCCCAATTGGCCCAAAGTATCACTAGCAAAGCTGGTTATTAGTTATTGAGCGGCTTGCAAGTATTTGTGAGTGAAGGTCATCTTTAAGAAACAATAGTGGCAAGAAATTTCATCAAATCCCATAAAATTCCTGTTCAATCTCATGTGCTGCACACAACCCTTTCATGGCAGCTCTTTTTTGGGGGGTGGGGTGCAAAAGCGTCTCTGGTTCCATGTTGCACCTCTCGAGTCATGTTGGCTCTGGTGTTGTATACCGTGATCTTTGCCGTGCCATTCTCGGCGTCCTGGAGAAGCCGACTTCATGCCGTGACATCCCGTCCGGCTTCCCCGCTCCACGGTGATGGGTGGACCAGTGGAGCTGTTCACTAAATGGTGATGGGTGGAAAACAGAGTTTGTGATGAACATTTGTGTTCCTCACAAGTTGGCATCCGTGGCAACCGGTAGTCCCGGTAGTGGGTCGGTAAAGAACATGAACTTCATGAACATACACACCTGATTCTGTTTTGTAGCGCCAGGTCCTGGATGTGCTTTGCAAAAACCGACTGCTCGCCAGGCCTGAGGAAACGTTGTGGATTCCACCGATCAGCACAAGTCCATTCAGTCAGAGTGCCATTTTGAAGGGGCTTCAGATGATAGAGATGATAGAAAAGTCAATGAACATCATGACTCATGACATCCAAATATCACGAAGTTGACTTGAAAGTCTTTATGAAGCAGCACTAATCTCACAGTATGCCCTTGAGATGCTGGCAATTTGGATGTCTGAGGACGTGGATGGGGGAGCCAAGTGGACACTTCAAGCGTACTGCTCAAATGATGTACAGTAGATTATTCCGTATGGATTACGAATAACATTACTCACATCTACTCACGCATTACACTTCAGGCGTCTTTCCCACACACACACACACCAATCCATGGACTCGTCGGGGACAGGACTCTAGGTTGACACCGTTGATCGCCACGATGAAGTCGAAAAACACCTGGCGATGAACGGCGCGATGAGTCGAGCAGGGAACCACTAGAGCACGTCAATTGAAAGAAAACCACAATATTGTAAAAACATATCATATGAATCAATCAATGAATCAACAAGTCTGGTTATCAATAGAAAAAACATGAAACAACAAAAAACACGGCATTCCAGAAGGTATACGATTTCTTCCGCATGGCCTTTCAGGACAAACATGGACAATGTCAGCAGCGGTTGAAAAACCAAAGCAAATCAAAGTACTTACTTACAAACACCTGCGGCATTGTCGAAACTCTGTCTGTCCCAAACCCCACCGCTTTCTACATGCATTGGTGAAGAGCGAATCCTTTCTGATCCTTGCCCTATTCGTGTCACTGATTCGTGGCCGGCGACATCATTTCCGGCGACTTCACGCCAGCATGCGTGGTGCGGCCTCCAACCCTGCTTCAGCAGCAGGGCTTCCAGGACTCACCTGCGGCTCCAAGGTCCCATGAGGTGATCCCAAGTTCAGTTCACCATTCACAATGAGTAGACAATAGACGGTTCTACCTTCCAGGTCTGCAAACAATCACAGAGTTGTCAGTTAAAGTATGTTAAATTGAATTAATGCTCACAGATCGCTTCACACATCGCTTCGATGATCTAAAGGAACCGCTTGGAACACCGCACGTCTTGCTCTCCGCCTTGAAAACACGGACGCCGCCTATCTCTGTCGACGCCGAACCGCCCATGGCTCCTCACAGACCTGCCAAGCGTCTCACGAAACGTCAAGCGGCTCAACCTTCCAAACCAGCTCAATCGGCAAAAGTTACGCAGTAGCGTTTGCCACAGTATGTGGACCCTGTCATACCAAGCACAAATGATATTCCCAAAACCCGAAAAGAAATGCATCGCCAGTCGCCCTCGGCGCCTGATGGTCCGAGCCAGGGGGCTTCACGCCCCAGGGGCCAAACAGCTACGTAAGCCCGGACAGCAAAAACAGCATTCCCGTGAGATTCTCTGGCCTGGGAATTGCCGTGAGATTCTCTGCTTTTCTGCTCAACAGCTGTGCTCTATCTAGAAATCTCTACTTGCCTTCCCTGATTTTTTGGCCAGAAACTCTACGTTGCTTTTCTCCACAATCAGATTTCTCCTAGATTCCTCCCCAAAGGTATGGGAAAATCGCTCTGAAACCGCTGCTTTAGTGGTACCTACTAAAACATTCCTAAATGATGCTAAATGCTAATGCGCGTAATGCGTACTACATTACAGGCATCACCATGCATCAACTGCATTACCTCTATGGATTGGAGCAATGCATGTAGTTTGCGACACAAGCCATTTCCGCGTTGCTTTCAGGCGCTCCTGGTCCTCATGGTCTTCAGCAAAAGCTGGCCTGGAAGATCCGCTTGCAAGTGGGGGAACTAAACTCATTGAGAAGAGTCATCTTGAAGGCTTTTGGCTCACAGAGACAGAGACAGAGACAGACAGACAAAGAGAGAGGGAGAGAGAGCGAGAGCGAGGAGTTGCGTGAGGTCAATGTCTCAGGAAACAATCGCGATGCCTCCCCAAAGGGGCCTATGTTTCGTGGCGCCCGTTAGGCAAGTCCTTGGCTTTAGACCCTTAACCCTCGTTTGGCTTTGGAATCTGCCGCCGAGAAGCGAGGCTTCAAACAGAAGGGCCCGGAGAGTCCCGCGCTGCAGATCTTTTGTTGTACCCTGAGCCGGTTGGTGAATGAAAAACACAATGAACCTGTAACACACACACACACACACCAATTTCACCAATATTTTGGAAAGAACCAAGTACGTCCAAGTAGCCACTGTCGAACAAAACCAAATAAGACTCTTGGAGTGCTTGACACACATTGACATGATTGAGGGCTTTCGGCAGAAGTATGCAGAAGTCGGTCCAAAGAAGCTTGTTCGGGCTATTCCAAAGTTCAATTTGAGAGCTTTTTCATTGTTTAGCTTTTAGTAGTAAGGCCAGGAGCTCCTAGTAGCGCCCTTGCTCCTAGTCTAGAGAATCACCATAGCACTGGAAAGTCGGAAATCTGCTTGACAGCTCAACAGACCGCCAAATCTCAGATCTCCCCAGACCGCGATTGCCTTCCCCTCATCCCCTGCCTTCCCTTCATCGAGCATTGTGGTCAAAAGCATGTCTACATCATCCTGGCTGGTGTTGGGCAACTCCGCGATGATGCGGAGGGCTTCAACCAAGGAAGGGCAAAGGTACAACTGTGCAGCTTCTGCAGACAACTCCAGCTTTCGGCACTGGAGCTTAAAGAGCCGCACCAAGACCATCCTTGGCTAAAGGATGCTAAAGGGGTGACACAAAAAAAGCCACTTAGTTGGTTCTAATACCATCCTAGTCTGTAATGGATAAGCTTTTGTATAAGAAACCAACCATAATACCAACCTGATGCCATCCAAACCAGCAAATAAGGCTCAACGAGGTGAAGGTTGGAAATGTGCACTCACAAACCAGTGTAGATGGACATCTTTTCGCATCTATCCAGGTTGCAGCTGCAAAACTGTTCCAAGGATGGCGGATGATGCCTTCCAACAGACTTTCGGTCAACTTCTGGGAGATCTGCTCCGAGACGGGTCTCGCCACCAAACGAGACACTGGAGCCAGGACCCCTTGAGGCACAGCTCGTAACACATCACTGGCAGTGTGCAAAATCTCGCCAACTTCAGGAGTGCGAGTGCTTTCGCGTCCAAGTGAAAGTGTGGACAAGTCCTCACACAAAAATAGCTGAAGAACAATGGTGGCAATAGTAGATACATGCCGTGTTCATGTTCATTTGCTACATCCGTCACGCATTCTGTAGAGACACATGAATAATTGTCAAATTCATGTCAACATTTTTACAGACCCCTCACATCACTCACATCCTCGCCGTGAACGATCATATTCCAGAGCTGTGCTGAAAATGTTGAAAGGCCAACCAAGGCCCGTGTGACTGTGTCCGGATCAGGGATCAGCAGAAGATCTGCCAGAAAGCATCGAAGACCTTCACGAAGCTGTTGATCCCGCAGTATGACCGAAACCAGCGCTGGCCGTCTGGCCACCGTGGCAGGCTCTGTTTGCATGGCATTTTGTTCGTTCTTCTCTTCTCCAACATCTTCCTCCAAAGCGGAGAACCGATTCTTGTTTCGGTTCTTTTGTCTTTTCCGTGAAGGTGTGGCAGCTACTGGTGCAGGTCGCTTTTGTAAGAACTTCTGTGCTGGATCCTCTAGTTGGCTCGACAGCGGCAAGTCCGTCCCAACAAAGGCGCTCATCAAGTAGCATGAGGTTCGAGTAAATGAGATTACAGATGCCGCATGAGATGGCTCGAGTTTGCTGAAGCGCGGAAGGGGATCGGGTACTGCATCGGGCACTGCTCGAGTGGTCGTTTTTCGCACTGAGTGCTCCAAGCCCCAGAATTCCTTCAGCAAGGCCGAGATGGCCACGCACAAGGTTGGGATGAAGGTCTTGCCTGGGCTGGTGAAATCCCTTGCGGGAAACAGCGTTTTGATGCGTTTTGGCTTCAAACAAACCTCACACAATTACCCACTTGCTCGAAACTGCAATTCATGGCATGATGGATTATGATGCTGCTCAGTTGCTGACACTGGCGATTCGAGGATCGTTCAGCATCGGAGGGACTCGCACCAGCGGCTGAAAGATCTCCTTGAGCAGTAGCTCGGCCACGTGGGGCCTCAGTGCTGGTAGGAGCTTGGCCGTGTTCTGCAACCACTCGGACGCTTTCGCCGACCCTTCGCCATCCCAAAAGCGTCCGGATGCCATGCAGGCCCGTGCGGCTTTGGCGACATGAGAACGGAGCTCGTAGAGGTTGACACGGATGGAAGCAGCCCATCTGGGATCCAATCCACCCGAAAACTCCTTGGCCAAGTCCTGCGAACGAAGGCAACTTTTTGGCCAAGACCCCCTGCTTTCTTCATGGTCTTTCGTTCAATTCAAGAGTGCCACGCTGACACTACCAGGAGCCCCTAGTGATCTGGGTTAAGAAAGCCCTCCATTGATGTCGTGCCATCGACTCGCCTCCTCTTCTTCTGGGCTCATAGCGCGCCCGGTCATTGCGTCAATCTCTGTGCGGCATGGGGTCAACACCAAGATCCGCACAGTGTGGTCTGAGGTGCCAGCTGCAAAAACGTACAAGTGACCTTAGCAACCCCAAGCAATCCACTTCTGTAAAACCAAGTTTGCGAGTGCCAACTCGTGCCTACAATGTGAGAAGGTGTGACCAAATACAACGACTTGTGCCAAAATGCAGATTATTCAAGGAAATTGAGCACAGGTACAGAGCGCCTGCAAAAGCTGAAAAATGCCAGGTGCCCAATCTGCGATGATGCCATCTGCCAAGTGTGGCTCCAATGCTTCCGTGCTTGCGCGCGAGACAGCACCAGAAAAGGTTGAAAGCATGGTCTTGATATCCTAATACTTCGTTGGTATTTTCAAATCGAACAGCAATCAATATTAAACCTACACGCACCGCTGAAGAGGCACACCTGTATACGATACTCTGTGGTACATGTACTTGGCCGAACGGAACACTCCTTTTTGTAAGCCGTAGCGTGGACCCTCCCAAACAAGAACACAAACCGCCAAAGCACCAAGGAACTCATCTTCCTAACTGCCGGTTTCCATGTTTCCGGGGGATACCTTCCCAACGAACAAAGAAAGGCCACAGACAATTGATTGAAGACCGGGCATCCTTCAGCTTTCCCAGTCCGCCAAGGTCTTCCTCTACACCGAGAATAGCAGGTGACGAACTTGCTGCTGATGCTACGACATCAAGAAGCGCCTGAGCAGAGGCGGATTGCACCAACTCTGAGGAGCGCCAGGCAGTGGTGACCTGGTGCGCGGTCGCCACGCTGGAGCCGTCGCAAGTGCCATAGATGCACAAACATCATCAGACATTGGTGTGCTTTTCATGGACGAAGGCATATTGACCTTCTGCCAAGCCCCAGAATGGCCCCACCCACCCCACCTGTTCCAAAATGCCTTCGATGAGTTGAACTTTTCGGGGTCTGTCCAGCTCGGAGCAAGATGCCACCGCTAGTGTCAAGGCTTCCGTGAGCTTACTCCGTCCCGCTGCGGAAGACACCTCAAAAGAACAATAAAGAAGAGAACCATCACGGGCCAGTCACGGGTTAGCGTCCGATGATCACTATGTGATCCCTATGTGATCACTTGTCCTGACCCTGCATGACTCCATGACCATGCTCTACATCGGCCTGGTCTCACAGGTCTCTGCATATCGGCATTCTCAAAGTAGGCACTTTGTCACCTGATCCGGTTTCTTTTAGCCCGCCCTTGCTCATATAACTCAGTAGGCACCTTACTACTAGCAATAGGGGATCTCCTAACTAGGACGCAGGATAGCTCACGCTTCAAGGAAGCCCCCCCCTCCTGAGGGCAGGGCAGAGCTTCCTTGAAGAAGCGCTCGCACTAATGATTTGGTTCCCGGATTTTTAGGGAAACTTGAAGCTGCCAAAGCAGGCACTAGACATTATATATTGGGAATGATTGCCCCGCCTTGGCTGCGAGATCAAGACATTCTGCATTCAGAGCTTCTAAGTGAGCGGCCTTGAGGACTCCGCTTTTGCTGATGCTCACCAGTGTGTCTAATGCCCGCTGTTCCAGCTTAATTCCTTTCGCTCGTGCATCACGAAGGGATGGCTCGAGCCGGATGGGTGCTAACACCCGAGCTAGTGCATCACGAAGCACCTCCTCACTCCAGAGCTTGTAAAAGGGGCTACAAGCTGACAAGAACTCGAGCCTCCGATACTCCATTGCTGGATTGAAACCACGTTGCACATAAACCTGCTGCAAAAACACCTGCAATGGTTGCAACACTGCTTCCAGCATCTCTTTGGATCCTTCTTTCTCAGCAGATTTCAAAGCCGCCAGTGCTGCACTTTCCACCAAAGACATCGCGCTGTCGCACTCTGCGACCCATTCGATCCCACCTCTGGCGTCGCTGTCTCCTGTTGAAAAACATGGACTGAAGTGTTGGCAAAGATTTGGTCGTTGATCTAAACTAAACTCCTGTTTACAAACCAACTACCATTAATATATAATATAATAGTATAGTAATATATATATATATATCCATTTGTCATATTCATCTCTGCTTTTGTTGCATACCACAGTGCCATAGAATGCCATAGAGTATTGTGCCCTGTCGAATGACACCTCATGAGATGCCATCCAACATTATTCCTGAACTGTTGCTTGTATGACTCATGACCTGTGATTTGAAGCGGCCCTCCAAACAGTTGGGCCTGCCATGTTTTCAGCATCCCCTGCCAATGCTCGGGCAAGAAGCCCGCCCGCCAACCGGCAAATTGCACCAAAGCCTCCAGAACTTTGTGAAGGACTTGGTCGGCAGAGTTCACCTCCGGACGGTCGAAGAGACACGTTTGCTGCTTTCTGGCTTTACATGTTTTTTCTTGAAATAAGCCCGTGGCCCTGCCTCCTTACCTGCTTAACTCAGTGGGTGCCTACTTAATTAAGTAAGAGCAACTAGTTAGCTTCTCGGTAGGACGCAGGACAGCTCACGCTCCTTTAAGGAAGCTCCACCCGCCTCAGGGCAGGGGGAAGCCTCCTTGAAGAAGCGCTCGCAAAAATGATTTGGTTCCTAGATTTTAAGGGAAACTTGTAATAAGCTTTGCCTGATCCTTTGGTAAAATAAGGAACGCCAAACGCCAGAACATGGCGAGGTTAACGAAGAACGCATGCTGCACATTCTGGACCAGTTGCTGAGCAGCTCCTTGCTGTGAACTTTCAGCATACCCAGTCTTTGGGATTGCATCTGCTGACCGGAAAAGTCTGTCTCCAATATTTCAAAGCTTGCTGAAACCGCCATCCATTGGCACCACTCGCTGAAACTGCCGGGATTTTGTCTCGTTGACACAGATCCCAAGCAGCGTAGTAGCCATGAAGAATGCTCACTGGAAAAGGACGTGGCACTGGTGGTGTTCTTCAAAGTCAGCACATGCAGGACGCCGATAAGTTCTTCCAACCGTGGCCCTGACACCCAGGTCGCAGCTGTTGCCGTAGGCCATGGCTGTGCCTCAGTACGACTTGGTCGAGCCAAGGCCACCAGACCGGTCAAGGCATCAAGCTGCACCGCAGCGGCTGGATAGCGAAGCAGCTGCATGAGAGCCTCCCAGATTCCTCCGACCCCAGTGAATTCGATTTCCAAGGCCGGTGCCAACTTTGCTTAAAACAACATAATGACGTGGTATAACATGGTTTAACCACACACAGCGAGTGACACGGTTCAGCCAACTATGACCTTGTCAGCAAAAAAACATCCCAAAACAAAACATCCAAGAAAGGGTCCTGATAGCTCTTTGGATGGCATTGCTGAAAGACTGGCTGCATTGAAGGTACAAAGGTCAGAAAGAAGCCTCCCAATTTGCTGATGAGAGCTATAGCTCTGAGGGTCATCAACATCAAACTTGCAGTTCTCCACCAGTCTGGCAACCATCTCTGTAAATCGACACATATCGTGTGTGGCTGGGCCAGCACTTGCAGCTTCTTTGTTCCCACGACTGGGGTGTAAGTGTTGCACCCATTCGGCCAATGATGTTAATGCGAACTCACTGAGGTCAGAAGATTGCAAACCCACCTGCACAATCTTGTCAAAGTGGTTTGCCAACAGCAGTTTCATCGGGACCGCGTGCGGCAATGCTCGACAAAGCTGGATGACCTCTCGGACCACCCTGCGATCTCCCCCGAACGCGTGCAAGGCCTTCTGCAAGCTGGCGACAAATGCTGGTGCTTCTGGAGGCTCTTTGAAATGCAAGGTCAGCCCATGCGAAATGTCACGACGTCGAGCTGCTGTGAGATCTTTGGAATCTTCCCCCACACACTCGGCCAGATGTGCCCAAACACTGAGACCAACAAGGGTTGAGCTGACCTGAAGCTGGTCAACTCAAAGAGCATTGAAACCTGTGATTCGGCAGCTAGGCTTAGAACCTAGTGGACCTAGTGCAACCTAGGAGCCGTTTGAGGTCCAAGAAGAGCCACGGTCAGTTCCGGCCATGCCCCAGGCCAATCAAGCTTGGCCATGCTTGCAACGGTCTCCGCGCACTTGCGACGAGCAAAAGGCTCAGTATGCGACGACCATGAGGATTTCATCAGTAGCTCCAGCAACCAGCTCTTCACCGAGGTCCATTCCACTGGTCTCTCAGACCGTTTAGACTGGATCCATTTCTGCAAGAGTTTCAGACCGAAGTGTTGCACCGCTGGGTTCGCTTCATTCGCGGTTCGCTTCAGGGCATGGTCCAGCGCTGGTGCCGAGCTGCAGCACAAGTGACTCAAATGCTCAAAAAGCTCCTGCGCTTCAATGAGCCCTGCGGAGTCGAGGCTGTTGATCCTGAGTCGAGGAAAGCTGTCTAAGCCTTAAGCTGTTGATCCTGCTTCCGAACCTTTAAACAAGCTGTTGACTCCCAAGACTTCATTCCAATTCCCATACGCAAATTTGCCGTTCAAGCCCTCGAATTGCATGTTGCACTGATCCGCTCCTTGAGACCAAGGAGAATGCGCGGTCGAAGACCCCATCTTCACCACCATCAGCTTCCATTGTGGCAAGCGAGGCCTGTTTAAGTAGGTATGTTTCGTTTTTATGCCAATGTCTATGCAATTCTATTTATTTGCAATGCCTTGTGAAGTGAATCGGAATCGAGGTACCAGTGCAAAAAGAAGAAGTCAACATATAGGCTGGGGTGTCTGCACACTCTTCAGATGCGTCTTCAAGAGCGGTTTTAAAGATCTTTCAAAGAAAGCCTGGAGCCAGGGCTTGAGCAGAACATGAGATATGATGAGATATGGATAGACATACGCTTTCTGAGGATTCTACCAGATTCTTCCAGTTTCTACTAACCCTACTATTTGTTGCAATAATATTAAAACATCATAGTTTTCAAAGAAAATGGGTGTGCCATGGGCGTGCTGGTGTGCCATGAAAACGGCATCCGTCCCTTGAAGCTCCCTGCGACAGGGAAGCTCCCACCTCCGCTTGCTTTTGAACGTGGCATGACGCCTGCTGATAGATCCTACGTATGTAGGGTCAGCGAGGGGTCACAGTGAAACTGTTGCTACTTGCGGAGAAGATTATGATCACTTGCTCGCCTCAGGCCGCTCTGCCCCCCAACCTACTGGTGATGGCCTCCAACGTACTAGCAATGGCCTAAAACCTACTAGCGATGGCTTCCAACCTACTAGCAATGACTCCTACTTACTTGCTGCGGAGAAGATTATGATCACTTCCTCGCCTCAATCAAGGTGCTCCAAGAGGAACATCCAACGGGCCACCACCCGACGACCCAAACGATGGTTTTTTTTGCTCCGTCCCAACGAGTCTCTGGCCGGAGGATACGGGCGCACCGTGCGGCGTTTGGGATTGGAACTGGGATCCAGCCTGGTGCCAAAAAAACATGTGTGAGGCAAAAAGGTGGGCAAAGAATTTAAACTGCAAAGACATCCGTTGATTTCTGGTTACAGGTTGCTTCACACAGCTATCAATTGCTTGGCATTGGACTTTATTTCACTGAAGTGCTGAGATTGCTGTCTGCATGGTGCATCCATATTCAATCTCCAAACTGGCGCCCAGAACATCCATGTTTTTGAAACTGCCAGATTAGGTCCAAACAAACTTTGGCAAGACTTCTTCGAACTACTCTGTCCGCTATTGGTGCCTGCTATCTTCTGGATTTAGATTCTCAGTGAGGGCACTCTGACGACGCGGCCTCGAAACAAGTGGAGCTGCGTGGCACAAGGCTTCGGGTGGGCTTGTTTGCTCTCGAAAGGTCCAACAAGCTCTAATCTTTGACTCTTAGCAAGCCCATGCAAGCCCTAAACTCCTAAACTTGCGCTTGCGGCGCATTGTGAAATCACTGTTATAACTACCATTACCACCTGATAATGGAGGGGACGAAAGCCAGCCTCCGTAACAATATAGTCGACATTGCACTGACCTCTACTGCTGTTAGGCACGGGGCAATAGAAGGCAAAGAGGCGCAAAGTCACACATTAAGGGTCGATATGATAGGTTCTTTATATGCAAGGCCTTGATCAAAGCCCATTCATTCACTGCCACGCGTTAGGACTTTACAGCCCTTTTTCTCTTGGTTCAAGCACTTCATGATGCTAATGATGATTTGCCTCTCTCACATCACCAAGACCCCCTAAAAACCCTAAAACACACATTTTCACCACCTTTTGGACGCCCGTTTTTTGTCGCTCTCCCCCACAAGGCTCCGGGTTCGCCCTACCCGCCGGGACCCGCCCTGCGCCCCCCCTCGCACCCCCTATACTCACTTCGTGCGCCCACGACAACTCCAGCCTAGCCTACCGGCTGGCTTTCGTAACAGATTTAGGGTAGAATCTCCAGCCTGTTACCATCAGAAAGCAACGGAAAACAATCTTTTTTATTGAGCTCTCGCAATGCTTGATTTGCCGAAAAGTTGCTCGCTTCGGGCTGGCTCATCCTGCAAAAAGAGCTTCTGCTAAGCTAATTGCTGTGTCAGTATATGATTATAGTCAATTATATATGGATTCTTTCCTGCTGTAATTCAACCAAAAACATGATTCAAAATATGAGCTTCAAAAAGGGTAGCCGCAAGACCTGCCTGCTCACCAAAGAGTGAACCTGGGTCTAACGTGGCTTTCCGAGAGCCCATCAAGGCGTTTGCATGTGGCTTTGAGAGTCCTAGCCCATGATCTAAGCCCAGAACTCGAAGGCAACTCTTTCCTGCAAGCTGTCAGAGGGGGAATGTGAGTGATCTTGTGGTATTGCATCTAGATTCCAGATCCCGACACTGCAAACTCACGTGAGTGTATATACACTGAGCTGTCAAATCCATTGCTTCATACTGTTTGCCACAGCATGCCACAGCTGATTCAAAACCAGTGGCACTACAAGCTCAAAGGAAGTGGGCAAAAGTGAGCGCACAGGGTGCTGGATCTCTCCCAGAAAAACTGTCCGATGGCGAAGGTCGCTCCTCAATTCCCACGCTCTGGTCTGCGCCAACCTCTGCAGTTGCGACAGCCGGTTGTTGTAGCAGCCTCATCAGGTCGCAGCGCAGCTCAGCTTTTGTTTTGTTCGCCAAAGTGAAAGCCTTCACGGAAACCGGTTCGCCAAATGAACGAATCATTAGACCTAATGAGTGAACGTTGCAAGAGTGCGGATGGCAGAGTGAAACCATGGAAGCCTCTACCCTCAACATCTGGGGGCGCTAAGACTAAAACACGGAGAGAGAAAGAGAGAGAGAGAGAGTTCATGAGAGTTCCTTGACGAAGTTCTATGTCAAAATATGTCAAAAACTACGGCGATATCCTTGGCTCAGTCGTGACTCCGCTTTCCTCAGGTTCTGGCCCAAGTACGAGGTAAAAATAGAGCCCTCCGGTGGAGAGTACCGAAGGCCATCCTCGCTTTTTCGACATGGTCGGAAGAGATCTGTCAAGACACGACATCAAAGGACCGGGTCAACATGTATGGGCAACCCTCCCAGGCCTTGTACAACAAGTCGAAGCCGCCAATTTGCAGCTCATGGCCCGTCAGATATTTTTCGATATCCAAAAGCCTGGGCCAGTGAAGGCTTCAGCCTGGTCGTTTCAACTCCACATGCTTGGTGCAAGTAGAGAATGTGTACACCTTGATTGGTACACCTTGCATGTAGCTTTGGTTGTTATGATCATCCACCCCCTAACATTGGATGAGGAAGGTCAAGCAAGCCGTAGGATAGTTTGACAAAAACACACTGTGATTTCCATGGAAGCTATTGTTTTGAGGCCCAAGAGATCCCAAAAGCACACATACAGGCTCAGTCAAAGGACGCCTCAACTTTCCTCAACTTTTCCTACAAATTGTTCCACAAGGAAAAGACTGCAATCTTGGTTAGTGTACCTTAATGAAATGTCGTATGGAATTTCAATCACGAGACGTTAAAAGGTCATCCAGCAAGCCATATTTCATCTCATAGTCGGCAACAGTATTGGCTGTCAAGGATGGCGATGCATTCACCTGAAGGCGCAGCAGAGTCAGCTTCCAAAGGATGAAGGACAAAACCATATTATGATATGTTATGTGTTGATATATGTGTATATTGTAGGGCATGTTTTTATGATAGTCATGTTCATATCTATCATGAAGAATAGTATAATAATTGAACACGGAAGCGGAGGAGAGGAGCCAAGGTTTGCCTCAAGGAGCCAAGGTTTGTAGTCGACATCAATGAGGATGTCATAGCCATACATCTCGAAACAGTGCTTGTCGTTAATCATCACCTGCAAATATGGCAATAGAGTCAGAGAGTCAGAAAGAGTGAGCGAAAAAGAGCGAGAGAGAGAGAGAGAGGAGAACTGCAAGTTGCTTTTGTCCAAATCGTTCACCCGTCTCTTGTCAAAGGATGACACCTGTCAAATATATAGCCTGGCTGTCAAACCAATCCTCGTCAAATCCTTGTCTCTTCTCCGCCCCTGTGGGGCCGCTTCACTACATTCCGCATTGCCAAGTTTTCCACAGTGGCCACTGGACTGAAACTCAAGCGACGATTCCGTCGCCTTTTGAACGGAGAGGAGCGAATGGATGACAATCTCTTCAATGTCACTGAAAAGCTTGTTTACCACGTCCACACTTGCCTCTTGATCGAAAGCTGGTGGACTTGTACAAAAAGGGTACAAGACTCAGGACCTCAGAATAGCTCGAACTGAGGTCCTGGCCGTTGTGAGGAGATACGACTTGAGGTTGTTCACGTCCCACTTCGCACCGGTTCGCTTGTAAGCTGCCTTGCCACTATGCTTCTGGACCTCGGGCACAGCATTGCAGAAACTCCCGGATTGGCCAGTCTCTCACCAAGAGTGCCCTTCACATGGAACAGTCGTGTGTATGTATATTCAAATAAAAGCGTCATAATTAAACATGTAATATTAAATACATACAACATATTACATAGAATTATACATAAAAGTCATATATTATATAGTGAATTGTCATAAGATGTTCTAGGGGTCAATATCCAGGCAAGACAGGGTCAGGCTTTCAGGCCGCATAAGGCCACCAAAGTTGTGCTGAAAGACTGCCACGTTGGTGAGGTGAGAGCCCAGGTCATTGAGGTTGCTTTTGTCCGCGGAGTATCTGGACATGGAAAAACGGCAAAAGCCACCACGGTGCATGTAGACCTTAGTCCCATGGTGGAGGAGGATGGCAAAAACTGCAGCCATATATCCCACAGCAACTGGCAACTGAGTCTTGGGCCGTGAGTGGATGATAGCTTGTGACGCAAACATAGAGGCGCATGTCCTAAAATATGACGTGAAGCTATCGCATTAGCCACTGCTTCTTTGATGTCAAGGAGGTTTTAGCCGCTAGTTTACGGGCTGAGCACTCGGCGAACTTTTTGCCACCAATGAGGAGAGGCGACTCGACATATTTCCTTGGAGAAGTACTCAACTCTGCACAGAAAAAACCAGTGGCTCCGTGACTCATAGCTCCCAAGAACAGCCATCGCCACCGCCATCTTGACCAAGACGTGCAGCCAAGCGTCTGCGCAATGTATGTTTCAACGCCAGCTGCCTCATCGTCCTAGCGAACGACAACCGCACCGACCCTGTGCTGATTCGGTCATCGCACCGACCCTGCAAACGGTCCTCGGTTTTGTCGGTTTTGGATTGTGAAGGATTCCAGTCCTGGCAAAGGGGGCAAACAAAGGCCAGCCGATTCGGCTCGAAATCCTTTCAGAATGCTAGAGCTCGAAACTCCTTCTTTCAATCCATTTGAATAACTTAAAACCTAGCTCAAATGCAAATCAACCACCAAAACAATCACTTTTCAGAGATCTTCAGAGTAGAAACATCACAACCCTTCCACAACCTCAACTGGAACCTCAACAGTAAAACCTACCGATAGATACTGCAATCGAATGCAATCGACATGTTCAGGTGGTTCGAAGTTAAAGACCACCGAAATCAACTGCAGGAGATGGTAATTATGCGAGAAGACCCAGACCTTGTGCCGATGCTGGAAGTTGCAAAAAGAACATGCTGCTGCGAACATTTGAGAGGAACTTTGAGATTTGAGACTCTCAAAGTCTAGTTGCGTTGCCAAGAACGTCCCATTCCTTCCCAAACCCCTCCTGTCTTGGCTTCCACTGCTGAGTTTGAGCAAGCTTGTTCACCAAGAAGATCCCCGAGCCCTGGGAACGACCAATGGGCTTCATGATCCAGGTGGAACCCGTCCACTTCTTGAACTCCTCCACAAACATGCTGTATTCCTGCGGCTAGGCGATGCTGACCATCACTCCGCCTTTTGACGTATGTTCAATCATCGCTATTAGGGGCCGAGGCCATCGCTATTGTCATTTCGACCCCAACATGCGCCATCGAACAGATCATCGAACTGGATCACTGATATCGATGATCATCTACCGTAGACTTTGCATGGACGGAAATCAGCTCCGCAGGTCCTGTGGTACCACAAAGGTGATGGGGCAAATGTTGTACTTTGCAGCTTCGGCATGTCTGCCGTCCTTGCAGAAGCAAAGCTCAGTACGTGAAGACCCGCGCTCAAGAATACATATGCGGCCTGTAGAATATCAACCAGAACCTGTGGGTTGTCCAGAAATGCAGCATGCGCTTTTCAGCTTTCATGGACGCTTAGTTTGTCACTGTACAGGGGCTGAGGGGACGTTGCCAGTTGCCAGCAAGATTATTGCCTGACTAGGGCCAAGTGAAGCTGATGATCAAGACAGGTACCCACTTCAAGCTACACGTGCTTTTGATCTCAAATTCCCATCCCCGTCCTTCTCACACTGCCGCTTCATCCTCTTCATGTTCTTGACCAGCAAGTCTTTGCGTGTGAGCTCATAGTGGTTCAGGAAGTGGTTTACATGCTGGTGAGGATCTAAGTGCATTTTGTCGAATGCTGAGTGGATCCAATCCTCAGATGAGCTGTGTTTGCTGGCTTGCAAAGCCACAAAAGGAGGAAGGAGCATGTTGAGCTGTCTTCAAGCCTATGCGGTTCCAAGAGTCTTTGTCGGTCCAGAAAATGTGCCACTCTGTATCAACATCCGTCTCTTTCCACCCACGTGACTTAAGAACGTCATAGATGGTGTTGTATTCGCTGTCCTGGCATGGGTCGCCAAGCACCGAAAGGAACTCTGCAGCAAACCCAAACCACTCCAAACCCAAACAAATTCTGTACAGAGCTTCCTATCTAGAATAATAAATGTGTACAGGTTTCGTTGCCTGGCAAGCTCCTGTTGTTGCCAACAAGAACAAAGATACTAAGTAGTGTCTAAAAAGAGGTCAAGATTGGTTGATTGGTGTGCAAAGCACGATTGTGGGGAATTTACGCTTACTTTCAGAGGGTGTTATAATATAGTTCTGAACAATCGAATCCCAAACATAGCACATGTGTAAAAACGCGGTGCCATATGTATAAGTTCCTCGAATCTTGTCTCTGTGCAAGTAAACTCTTTGCCAACATCAAACCCTTTGCAAACCTTCTTTGACACCACTACAACAAGACCTACCCGCCAGGCCCGCCAGGTCTTTCTAGACTCAGATGCTCAAACAGGGTACCAGTAACCATCACCACCATGCACTACAATATATACCACAAAGTTCAACACCGTTTCTGAAGTGGGTTACAGAGGGTTACAGCAAGGCCAGGAGCTGAGTTCCTGGGCCAGGAGCTGTTAGTGGACCATTGAGGGAGCAAGGCCCTATCTACAACACAAATAGTTTTTCTCCGTGCAACGATGCAAACGGAACCTCTTGTTTCTTGGTCACGTTCGTGGCCCATGAGGCAAGGATTTACTATCAACAGTAATGTGAATACAGGGATATACAATCAAACACGCTCCAAGAACCTTCTGGACCTTTTAAGGTGGTAGGTTGTTTTGGTCTGAATGGATCTTACAACCATACGGGCATGTGTGCTGCATGCAGTCCCTTTTGGCCGATGAAGCCACAGGCCCAAACACACGGGCCAAGAGCTTTAGAAGTGGTCCAGACTTCGCTGAGGATCAGGGTTCTTTAGGTTTTGCTTGAAGAATTTGAACCTCCAGTAAGAATTTTCAATCCTGCGCTGGCATAATTGTAATCAACTAGCCAACTTTGGCCAACTGGAGAGGAAGAATCCGCCGGCCCTGGGGCACGGCGTGCTTTGGGTAGTTGGCTTTTTGGTCGTAGTTCTTTGTTAAGCTATGTCTTGTCTGTTTTTGTGCTCCCCCGGGCGGGTTTTTGAACGGTCTAACCCCTCCCCCCCTCCCCCCCTCTTGTCGTTGTCCATGCATTGCGCTTCTGCTTTGTATGCGTTTTTCTCAGGTTTTGCACCTGCACTCACGTATCTATCGTTTTTGGCAGACTCAGACTGCTTGGAAATCCCCATGCCACACATGTCCTCATTACTCTCTTGTATCATGTCTGACGGAGTGCTATGTACGTTTGCTGCTTCGCACGGTCTACTTCGCTCATTGTGTCACCTGTCATATAATTTGTCTTCTTGCTTGGCAGGCTATACGTTGCATCCCCCAATTTCATCTCCCTGTTCTCTTATTGTATCATGATGCACGTCATTTCATGTAGGCTCCTCTGTTGCTCCAGCTGTGTTCTGGATGATGCTGTTACTTTTTCTGCTCTGTTGCAGTCTTTCCTCTTGACGCAAAAGGTACTCCGCATCTTGGGACCATTGGCTGAAAAGGCCGGCGGAACAACCCGCAGGGTGTAAATAAACGCATTGTTTGATAGGTGTGTGAAAATATGCTGCGTGGTCGTTCAATAAGCGACCAGTGTCACATCATCATCCAAACCTCAAAAAGGCCGCGCCTTCGAATTTCCCGCCGCATCTGACACTCGGTGAAGCTTGGCGCAGCGAAAGCGAATGAGTGCTGCTGGGGGCGGATCGCGCCTCGCAAAAAAGGCTACTAGGAAAAAGAACGCTACTAGTAGCTCCTGGCGTTACTACTAGGAACAAGAAGATACTAGGAACAAAGGGCATCACTACTAGGAGCAAGCTATCACCCTTGAAGTATGTTACGCACGGGCGATCCTTCTTCATGAGAAAACACACTCAAAGCCTCTGGAATAGATATTTCACGTTTTGGACTTTGGGTGGCTCTTGTGTCCATTTACAATCTATATAGCTCTTGGTGACTATTGCACCGGCTTGCCAGGAACACCGAATGATCTCAAGAAAGCCACGCCGACCAGGTCTACCGATCAAAGCCGCACCAAGTCTGCCAATGTCCATGTTCAAAAAGACGGACATTCAACATTCAGCTTTTACTCCTGTCCTGGCCTTACTACTAGGAACAAGGACGCCACTAGTAACAAAGGGCATCGCTACTAGGAGCAAGGACGCTACTAGTCGCTCCTGGCCTTACTACTAGTAAGAAGGACGCTACAAGCAACAAAGGGCATCGCTAGGAGCAAGGACGCTACTAGTGGCTCCTGGCCTCACTACTAGTAACAAGGACGCTACTAGTAACAAAGAGCATCGCTACTAGGAGCAAGGACGCTACTAGTGGCTCCTGGCCTTACTACTAGTAGCAAGGACGCTACTAGTAACAAAGGGCATCGCTACTAGGAGCAAGGACACTACTAGTGGCTCTTAGCCTTACTACTAGTAACAAGGATGCTACTAGGAGCAAGGACGCTACTAGTGGCTCCTGGCCTTACTGCTAGCAACAAGGACGCTACTAGTAACAAAGGGCATCGCTACTAGGAGCAAGGACGCTACTAGTGGCTCCTGGCCTTACTACTACTAACAAGGACGCTACTAGTAACAAAGGGCATCGCTACTAGGAGCAAGGACGCTACTAGTGGCTCATGGCAATACTACTAGTAGCAAGGACGCTACCGGCTCCTGGCCTTACTACTAGTAACAAGGACGCTACTAGTAATGACAAGCATCGCTACTAGGAGCAAGGACGCTACTACTAGTGGCTCATGGCCTTACTACTAGTAACAAGGACGCTACTAGTAACAAGGGGCATCGCTACTAGGAGCAAGGACGCTACTAGTAACAAGGGCATCGCTACTAGGAGCAAGGACGCTACTAGTTGGCTCCTGGC